ACTTAAATAAAATTATAACTATAATCATAACTATAAAAATATAATTATAAATAAAATTAAAAATTAAAATTAAAATAATTATACCAATTACACTAATTATAACTATAGATACAATTATAAATGTAATTATATTTTAATTATAATTACTTATATAATTATTATTTTAATTAAAATTATAATATTTATTTCTATAATTACAATTATAAATATAATTATAAATAGAAATATAGTTACTCCGTATAATAATTACAATAACAACAACAACAACAATAATAATAATAATAATTATAATTATAATTATAATTATAATTATAATTATAATTATAATTATAATTATAATTATAATTATTATTATAATTATAATTATGATTATAATTATAATTATATTATTATATTATAAAAATAATAATATAATAATCATAAATTATATTATTATAATTATAATATAATAATAATATTTCTATTATTAATATTATTATTACTATATTATTATATTATTATTATTATTCTTATTATTATATTAATATATTATTATTATTATTAATATTATTAACAATAATTATAATATAATAACTATAATAGTAATAATTATAATTAATATAATAATAAAAGTGATAAATCATGTTTGAATTTTTCTGATCTGATCTGATCTGAATGTTTCTGATCTGGTCTGATCTGAATCTTTCTGATCTGATCTGAATCTTTCTGATCTGATCTGAATTTTTCTGATTTGATTTGATCTGATCTGAATAAAAAAAGAATAAGGAATAAGTAATAAGATTAAGACGAGGAGAACAACTTCTTGGATTGTAAAACAACCACTTTATCTTTTATTTTTTAAAATCACACCCAACCCAAATGCATCTTACATTATGGGATGGAGGTAGTAATAATAAATAAGGAGCATGTCTTTAATCGAAGGATGTATTTAATTAATTAATAAACCAGATCCGACTTAAATATACCAAATTACTCGATAATTGGTATAAGACTGATGGAGGTAGTACTCCGATGAAGAAGATCAAACACATATTTTTGCTGGGAAAGAAATAAACCTGTGGCAGGGCGAAGCAATAAGACTGATGAAGGAAGTGATAAGAGAAGAGGAATTTCCTTTGATTATAATATCATCCACATATAACAACAAATACAGAACAGATGACCCGGTGCGATAAATAAATAGAGATTTATCAGACTTACTGCACATGAAATTATGAGAAAGAAGAAAGCTGCTAAATCTATGAAACCAAGCCCGCGGAGCTTGCTTAAGGCCATAAATGGCCTTACGCAGGCGACACACATGATCAGCAAAGTGGGAATGAACAAAGCCCCGCGTCTGACGCATATAAACTTCTTCAGTAAGATGACCATGAAGAAAATCATTTTTGACATCTAATTGACGCATAACCCACCCAAAAGAAACAGCAAGTGTAAGAACAATACGAACAATGGTGGGTTTAATGACCGGACTGAATGTCTTAGGGAAACGATATCCCTTATACCCAGATGCATAGCTAATAAAAACACAATGAATGGAACGGCCTGAGAGTTTATTAGATGAAGTAGCAGAAATATTTGGAAAACATGAGCAACCAAACAAACGAAGAAAAGAGTAATCCGAGACTTTATGGAAAAGTTGTTCGTATGGCGATACATCGAAAAGAAGAGGAGTAGGTAAACGGTTAATAATATATGCAGCAGTAAGAATAGCATCGACCCAAAAAGTGCTAGGAATAGAGGCTTCAAGAAGCATAGTCCTAGTTAGTTCTAATGAATGTGTATGTTTTCTTTCAGCAACCCCATTTTGTTGGGGAGTATCATGACAAGTTTTGCGAAAATAAATTCCATGGGTTTTAAAAAAATGCCGCATATGAGAATTAACAAATTCACCACCTCCATCACTTTGAATTTTTTTAATTCTAGTATTAAAAAGATTTTCCACTAGAACTTTAAAATTTTTAAAGTGAGTAAAAACTTCATCTTTTCGGTGCATCGGATATAACCAAGTAAATCGAGAAAAATCATCTATAAAACACACATAATATTTAAATCCCAAATTGGACAAAACAGGTGATTGCCAAACATCAGAATGAATAAGCTGAAGTGGTTTAGAACAAGAATGGTCTAATCTACGATGTGATTTGCCTAAACGACAAGAAATACAATCATGAGAAAAACTAGAGCTACTACAAATGTGTTTTTGCTTATTTAAGGAATGTAAAATAGAGTCGCCACAATGGCCTAATCTACGATGCCACAAGATGCCTGGAACAAATACGGATGAGAGAGCAAGTGATGATGGAGAACTGAGGCTGACATGATAAAGATGATCTTTACTGGCTGCTCGAAGAAGGACTGCCCCCGAAATTTTGTCCTTAACAAAAATAATAATTTTTATCAAAAATTACAACACAGTTGTTATCAGCACAAAGTTTCTGAATAGATAATAAATTAAATTTGATTTGAGGCACATGATAAACATATTTTAAAACAAGAGGGCGACTAGAGGAAGATAATGGAATATCACCAATATTAGCTATATGTAATTGAGAACCATTGGCAACACTAACAGAATGTGATCCAGTATAAGGAAATTTATTGACTAAAATACCTTCTGATGGAGTCATATGAGCTGAAGCACCGGAATCCGGGAACCATAAAGACGCATTAGTATCACTATTGGAAGTCATCAATGCAGGAGCAGAGTGTTGACTGAAACGGGACGGACAAAGCATAGCAGAATGACCTGTGGAGAAACATACTTGACAAACAAAAGGCGGTGGGACAGAACCAAGAATACCCTCAGAAGATGGAAAGCCTGCAGTGCTAGAGTTAGTACCATAAATAAAATAGAGATTAGTATTTAAAGTGGACAAAACAGATATACTAGCAGAACCTGAAGTGCCCGATGAAGATGTAGCGTGAGGCAGACCGGGCTGGACTGACGGACGAACCTGCTGTGGACCCGGCTGGACCGGCAGTGGTGGGCCGAACTGCTGGCCGAACTGCTGCAGGTGACCTGCCTGGTGCTGCGGCTCATAGTATTACTGTCCAAATTGCTGACCATAATTATGGCGTCCGCGACCTCCTCTGCCTCTGCCGCAGCCTCCCCTGCCGTGACCTCCCCGACCTCGTGGAGCATACGGTTGCTGCGGTGGCTGCTGTTCAACAGCCGCAAAGGCTGACTGAATCTGAGAAGCTTGTTGGCGATTGAATAATACCCGCTGTTCGGCCTCCATAAGACGAGGTTGCAATATCTCTAAGGGAAATTGATCGGGAAAAAGCATAACAATACTACCAATGATTCGTATTCGGGACCCAAGCCGCGAATAACAGACTCAAGCAACTCTTTGGCCGAAACTGGTGAATTAACCGCAGCAAGAGCATCAATCAAATTTTTAATATCCCGGAGATAATGGTCCATAGACTGATTTTCTCTCTTTTTAAGATTATTTAACTGACGCTTCAATTCCATACAACAAGGTAAACTAGCAGACATGAATCGAGTTTGCAACCTTTCCCATATCCCAAAAGAATGTTTAAGATCATGTACATCAACTAAGACATCACGAGTAAGAGTAGCAAACAACCAAGAACGGATAGTTTGATCTACCCTTAGCCAATGATAGTATTCAGTATTCGGTACCTGACGATTATTGAAATCAACAATATACATGGGGGGAACAGGGATAGAACCATCAAACATACCAAAAAGACCTTGTGAAACCAGAAACGATTCAAATTGTGTACGCCAAGTTAAATAATCTTCAATAGCTTTTAATTTAATGGTCACAATCTGACTAACATTAGAGATTGGAGGTAGAGATTGTACCAACGAGGCCATGGGACTGCCAAAAATAGACGATTCCGGAGGACGAACCACTCTCGGAGACCCTGTGAAGGTAGGGCCGAAGAACTGTGAGGCCGGCAGGGAGGAGGGAGGCGTCAGTGTATGTTGTGGCGCTGGCCGAAGCGTCTGCCATGGAACAGAGGAATAACTCGGCCTGGGAGTCTGAAGAAACGGCAAAACGGTGGACGAGGACCACATACTGGAGCTAATCAACGGACCTCCTGGAAACACTGTCTGAGACGCACCGGAGAAGACATCGCTGGAGGAGAAGCCTGTGATGGAAGAAGAATCAACAGCGGTTGACAGAGCGGCGCTGATCGAGAATGGCGAGGAGAGCTGAGCATCGATTGCGGCGGCGCTGGTCTCGACGACTGTGGTGGTCGGTTGACTCACATCGGAGACAGGGGTTTCGATGGCGCTAGAGATGGCGGCGTCCGACATTGAGTGTAGCGGGAAAAAATTTTAGGTTTTAGATTCGTAGGCTCTTGATACCATGTGAATAATTGGCACAGGTTAGTTACCCTAATGAGGGTCCTGAGAGATGTATTTATAATAAAATAATAAGTTTCCAAAATACGGAATGATTCCTAATTAATATTAGCTATTACATTTTACACTATTATTTTAAATAAAAAATTTTGAAAAAAATATTATTCAATTCATCTCATTATAAATTTTCAAAATCTGTTTTTTAATTTTTTTATTAATATAGATTAAGATATATTTACGGTCAAATATGAGGTTTGATGCATTTTTCAAATCACAGAGGATTAATGCGCCGAATTTCAATATCACGAGAGGGTTTGATGCATTAAACCCTCAAATATGTGCATTGACAAATGTGAAATGCTAAACATTGCAACTAAAAAATGAGGGAAATATAAAACATTTGAAAACGGAAAAACATAAAACAAGATATGATAGCAACCCCATTTTGAAATTTCATAGCAACCCCATTTTGAAATTTCATCTTAAGCAATAGCAACTTTAAAATTTTGATATGATTGAATATCTTCACGTACAAATCCTTTAGTAATTAACAAAAAAATGGGGCGTAGGGTCAATTCATCTCCCCATCTAACGCGTTAAGGTTTCCTCTAAATGAGTAATAAAGCCTCGCATGCTTTCTCCATTTTCACATGTGAATAATCAAAATAAATAAGTAAATAAATGAACAAACCCAATCAGCGGTGAGGAGAGGAGGAGGAAGGACTGGTCAGCTCACACTCAACCTTCCGAAATAGCTACCTGCAGAAATGGAAAACACAAAAAAGACCCAATCTTTCCTTCTTCTTCTTCTCTTTAAAAAGCTTCCATTTTTATCCATACTCTGCTCTCTTCACCTCATTCTCCTCTCACCCTCTCTTTCAGCAGCTTCCACTCCCAAGCTCCACCCACCGGAAGGTACGGCGGCGCGCTATTTCATTATCGGAAAAAGAAGAATCTTTTTCCGAGTATACTTTCTGCAGATCAGGAAATTGACCAGGATGGTGTTTGGGTGCAGTGACAGCGTTGGAGGAGATCGCTAAGAAATTGGGGAAGACGGACTGGGATTTCGGGAAGGATCCCTGCAATGGGAGTGAGACCTGGAGTCCGGCGATTCTGAGAAAGAGCTTTGAAACCACCGTCACCTGCGACTGCTCTGCCGGTAACGGCACCGTCTGCCACGTCACTGCCATGTATGCTTCTTCTTTACTGATTCTTTCTATCCAAAATAGAACTGTGATTGTAAGTATTTTCCAAACTTTTTGGGTATTACACTTTAGAAATAATAGTTCTATTTTGGATTTCTCAAACTTTTTAACTCATATTTTAGGAATTTTCCCAAGTTTTTAATTAATTCTAATCTTGTGGATGAAAGCGAAGTGAATACATGTTTAATTCTGTCACTTGGGCTAAAACAAATATTGTCAAGGCATTCCCATTCCTTAGATTATTTAATGTTTAAATGGATGATGTGTAAGATTATTTTAAAGATATCATTGTGAGTGAGAGATTATTGAAAAGATAATCCCGGATTATTTTAGGTGGTAGTTAAATTGCATTTAATGCATGATCTAGAAAAACTAATTATTTGAGTATCATGATTGAGGAAAAGCTTTGAAATTTGAGATTACTTAAAATTTATTGAATAAATGTGATGTGATAATGATGTGTAATAGAGAAACCATTTATGTTACAACTTTGCTATAGGTACCCAAAACGGGTACCCCATTTGTCCCCCACCCTAATGGGTGGCCATAAATGAGCCAACCCATTTAAGTGGTGCCCCACATAAATGAGTTGTCTCATTTATGGCCACCCATTAAGGTGGGGACAAATGGGGGTACCCCATTTTGGGTACTTTTAGCTTTTTTCTTTATGTTAAGATCTGGTTTAATAAAATGTCTGGTCTCTGTGGTCTGATCTAGGGGTGCAAATGAGCCGAGCCGCCCGTGAGCCGCTCGCGAGCCGCTCGGTCAAAGCTCGATTCGGGATCGGTCAAATTCGAGCTCGAGCCGAGCTCGAGCCGGCTCGTTAAGCAGTCGAGCCCGAGCTCGAGCCTTCTAATTTCAGGCTCGCTGGCTCGCGAGCCGGCTCGCGAGCCTAATTTTATATGTGAATATATATAATATATTACTATGCAATATAAATTAATATATAATGTATACTGTTATAATGTACGGAGTAATATATAAGAAAAGTGGGTTTGTGTGATTGATATTAATTGATAAAGTAAGAATAAAGTAAAAATAATTTTGAACCACACAAACTTTACCAAATAAGGTATGAGACAATTAAATAGGGACATCTCAATATGGTAAAACGAGACATTTAAAAGGGGACGGAGGGAGTATATAATATATGCTGATTAGTAAAATTTTATAATATTTTAGGCTTAGGTCGTTACTACTCAGTAGAAAAACTTAGAATGGGCCGATGACAGTGAATTTTTACTACGGACTCATTATGGAGCATCATAATGGTTATCGAGCCTCGAGCCGAGCCGAGTCGAACCGAGCCTTCTGCGAGTTGAGTTCGAGCCGCGATTTTGTAGGCTCGTTCGAGCCGAGCCCGAGCTCGAGCCGATGCTATATATTTCGAGCTCGAGCTCGAGCCTGTAAAAAATCGGGCTCGGCTCGGCTCGTTTGCACCCCTAGTCTGATCTGGTCTGGGACTGAAAACTATCCTAAAGAAAACATCCTAACAATCAATTTTGGTCCATTTTAATACTCTAATTATTAAATGAAATAAGTTAGTATGTTCACTGCATTAATTGGTTTCAATTTTCAAAGGTACCATTTTGGAGTTCCTCTCAAAATAATCAATAACCTTAAATTCAGATTAACCAGAAAAAAATCTTGTTTGCAATTAATTGCTTTAGCAAGTTAATAACGTCATCATGACGTGGCATTCTGGCCATAGAAAATGCAGGAAGTCTTGATCGGAGAGGCGGTAATCTAGTTTCTTTAGTTTCTAATGCTAATACTAATGGGCACTTGCCCATTGTATCGTAGATACTCCCTCCGTCCCTATTCAAAGTTTGCACTTATATTAAGAAAATGATACTACCTCCGTCCCACTAAGATTGGAACGGAAGAAGATGACACGATTATTAAGAAAAGTGGGTTTGTGTGGTTGATATTAAATTGATAAAGTAAGAATAAAGTAAGAATGGTTTGGAGCCACACAATCTTTACCAAATTTGGTATGGGACAATCTTAATGGGACTTCCCGAAAAGGAAAAATGAGACAATCTTAGCGGGACGGAGAGAGTATAATTTTGGTACTGTGTGACACAATTTTGTAAGAGTATTGTTTTGTTTAATAAAAAACTATGATATGCTATTATTATTATTATTATTATTATCATTTATTTATTTAGTTACTTACTCACTTTTTTTGGAAATTTACTTATTTATTTATTTATTAATTTATTTATTTATTTCCATTTGAGTATTTTACCATCACATCAACTAGGAAGCACGGAAACTCTCCACGGCTCACATTTCCACGTTTCGGAAACTCGGAAGCGTTTCGGAAACTCGGAAACTTCAAATTCCCGTTTCGGGGCCGTTTCCGTAATTAAGAAAAATTTGGAAACCCGTTTCACTACGTTTCGGAAATCTCAGATTCCAATTTTTTTCTTGAAAGAATGGCACGGATGTTACTTCCCATCTTTTGATGGGCAAAAATATGAGCACTTTTAAAAAAGACACAAAAGTGACTTTTTTTCCTCTCAGTGCCTTCTTCCGCGTTGAACTCTCGCTGCTTATTCTTCCCTTTCAACAATTTGAACCAGTCACTGCACTATCTTTGCCGTCTTCATCAGTGAACCATCACCACCGCCTAAGCTTCGCGACGAGTTGCAGCCACCACCCGCCGCAATCGGACATCGCTGACGGTAGCATCTTGCACCTCCGGCCTGACCTTCGTCTACCTTCTCTATTGTCGTAGCTAGTCGCGCCTCCGGTGTACGACGTCTCCGATCTGAGGCCGCCGATTCCAGATGCATCTATCTCTAAAAGAGACGACTTCAATTTGGGCCACCGGTGCTGGATCCGCCATACTCCATGGACAATGGCTCTGATTTTGGGTCTGATTTGGGTCCGATTTGAGTCCGCCGCTGCATGTGGGGTCTGATTTGGGGCCGCCACTGCTGTTGGGGTCCGGTTTGGGGCCGCCGCCGCCGACGGTGGTGTTATGGCCGAGGTTTTATGTGAATTGGCCGGAGAAGGACTTGGGGGAGGACAAGGGGTTGGGCAGGGGAGCAGGGGTGGGGGTTGGGAACAGGGGTAGGGCTAGATGTTGGGGCTGAGGGCGGGTGGCTGGATGTTGGGGCTGAGGGCGGGTGGCTCGTGGTGGTGACTGGCAGTGTTGACCGGGGATGGATGGGAGGGGAAGTGGCAGTATGGTTTGGCCGTGTCAATGGCATGACGGTGCCGGCGGGGTGTCACCAGACGATGGCGGTGTCACTGCAACGGGGCTGACATGGGTGTAGGCTGTAAATGGCCTATTGTGGCTGGCCGCCGGAGTGGGGGCGGCAGCGGCGGGGTACCTGCGATGGTGGTGGCCGACGGTGGGAGGTTTGGTGGTGGCTACAGTGACAGGGGTGCAGTGACACGGGCGGTGGCCACAGTGACACGGGCGGTGGCCGCAGTGACACGGGCAGTGGCCGCAGTGACATGGGCGGTGACGGCAGTGACATTAAAACAGGATAGTGACATTAAAATCTGAGAATGACATTAATATGACCTTGTTGATCACTTTTTTGCCCCTTTTTAAAAGTGATCACTTTTTTGGTAATTGGTTCAAAATTAGTAATATTCAAGTAAAAACCCCTTTTTTCTTTTTCAACAGATTCCGTGGTGGAAAATAATTTTTTATAGTGAATTTTTATGTTATTTCTCAGCGGCAACACTTGTTACATTTCGTAACGCAATGTATCGCTAGAAATGTATTACTCCGTACATTTTATGTTTAATTATGTACTAATATGAAATAATATCTAATTTCGAAGATATAGAGTGATTTTATAATTGGTTACTAAACAAATTATATTACAAAAAATGTGCATGTGGAAAAACTTATGTACATATATTAAAAAATATTTATAAATATATCCTTATATTTTATAATATTTACGCTTTTCTCCCCACGTTTCGTGTCCTATATTTTTTAGAAATTACGTTTCTCGCGTTTCCTGTTTCACGTTTCCCGTTTCCCATTACCATGCTACTTATTATATATCAACAAGATCGAAGAGGAGGTAAAACCCCGGGGAGGTCGATGGCATGGCTGCTAAATGATTTGGTTGACCGAGTAGTTAGTCAACGTTCAACAGCCACCGCCGCGTCTTCCAGCTCTATAGTTGATGCGATTTGCCTTGTCACTTACTTTATGGTTACTTTGTCAGTATTATTAATACTGACAATTTTTATAGCGAACTTGTTTGTATTCTTTGTTAATATTTTCGTGTCACAGGGAAATTGGGATTTATTAAAAAATGTGCAATTCAATTACGTGGCTAATCAGAATTAACTCACCGTAGAAGTGATATGCCCGCATCTTCTTGAATTGGATGAAGCAAAATAGAGAAAGAATATTCGATTTTGCCGTTCCCCAATTCTTTTGGACTAAGGCTTGGATATTGTTGTATCAATACAATCTATTTTAGATCCAATTCAAACCTTACCAAGTAACATAATATTATTTGTTAACACAAAACCCTAAACTCACAAAGTTTATTGGAGGATGTTATTCCTGTAGCAATGTTTTTTTTGAACAATTCATATAGCAATATATATCACTGATTTATGCTACTCCGTAATATAAATGTCCAACTAACTATATTAATATTAAGTTTTTAGGAAGTGATTAAAATAATATAGTGATTATTTTAATATAATACTATAAATGGACAGTATCATACTAGATGAGTTAAGGTGACGTTTGGGGTAGGGTTTCCAAAATGATTACTAATACTAGTGACATCTTAGGTGTCCTAAACTAGTGTAATTCAATGCTGAAGATTTTAAAAACCTGTGCTGGATTTTCATGCCTTAACCAATGGTGGGAAAAATGACTGCAGATCTCTCAAGTCTCAAAACTATACAGGAAGTCTTCCTCCTGAATTTGCAAAGTTCCAACACCTCAAAAGCTTGTAAGTTGAGATTCTAATTCAATGGAGATATCTCTGTTAACTTCCTCATAATGGTGCACTAATGAACTGAATTGTTTTCATGTTTGTTTTATCCAGGGATCTCAGTCGTAATTATCTGAATGGAACGGTTCCGCAACAGTGGGCATCAATGCAATTGCTTGACCTGTAATCATTATTTCCTGCCTTGATAGTCTTAGAGCCCGTTTGGTAGCATCAAAATCGGCTGTTTTGGCTGATTCTGCTAAAATTTATGAAGTTCTGGCTGAAGTGGCTGCACTGGCTGATTCTGCTGATTTAAGAAAAAATTATTTTAAAAATATATTTTATTAATAAAATAAAGAAAAAATTATATGTAAAAATAGCTAAAATAGTCATCTACACTAACTTCAGCCAATACAGCCAGAAAAGTAACTCCAACCTTACTTTTTCTGCTTATTACACAATTCAGCGCGCGCAAGCAAAAATTATGTGTTGGTGAAAAAGTTGGCTGATAAGCCGAAAAACAGTGTTGCCAAACGGCCTCTTAATCTGTTTTTTTTTTCAGAATTGTCGATATAACATAATTGTATTGTGCCTGCAGTTCTCTTATGGGGAACCGTTTATCGGGCCCATTTCCAAAAGTTCTCACCAAAATCACTACTCTCAGGAACCTGTATGTGAATGATTTCTTATCATGTTCAGTTGTTCACAAGTTTTTTGTTCCTCATTTAGTCATTAGAAAAGTTATGTTGGTTTCAAGGTTGTTTTCTGTGGTGTTCTTTTTATTCCTGCACCTGATGATTCCACGTAGTAATTAATAGAAGGAAAGTTTTGTGTTTGCACCTCACATTAATCTCAATATTTGACTTTGGAACCAGTTTTTTCCTAACGTGCCAAATCAAGTATTACGATAAACGTGAATGCAATGTAAAAATAAATAAAATAGTGGGGTGCAAATTCAAATATTCTGGATAAAAAGCATTTGCAAATGCCAAATTTCCCTGGACCGGAATGCGTGAAAATTACATTTTACGTACTACAAACAAATGCAGAAGTAAAACAGACATTGTGTTAATTTTAACGGCAGTTGAACTAAAAAGTAAATAATGCCATTGAACTGTGATCCGGAAAGATCAAGTTTTGTTGCTTCATCTGATTTTATATTTTCAATTTACTTTTCACAGGAGCATAGAAGGAAATAACTTCTCTGGATCCATTCCTTCTGAAATTGGGAACTTGGTTCATCTTGAGAAGCTGTAATATTTCTTCACCTTACTCATGAATGTTGCTTCTTCGGATTTAGTTTGTCTTACTAATGTTTTATTTATTATTTATTTTAGAGTACTGTCATCAAATGCTTTTACAGGAAATTTACCTTCTACACTTGGCATGCTGAAGAACTTAACTGATGTGTGAGCATTTAATATTTTATAGCTTTTCTAATCGCGATAAGAGTGTCATGTTAATGTAGGTAATTCTTTGTTCTTGCTATATATTTTTAGGAGGATAAGTGACAATAACTTTAATGGGCAGATACCCAATTTCATCAGTAGCTGGACAAAAATTGAGAAACTGTAAGATTGCTTTATTAATATATGTTTCATGATGATCATGCTTAAATTTCTACAAGGATAGCATTCACAAATATATATTGTCAGATATGAAGAGTAATTTTATGTTACAGGCACATTCAAGGTTGTTCACTTCAGGGCCCTATACCTTCAGCGATTTCCAACTTAACAGCTTTAAGTGATCTGTATGATGATTTAACTTTTTCCTTCTGTATTTTACACGTCCATTGAATTACGGAGTAAAGAAGTGGAATGAATACATTAGGTTTATTCATGAGTTTTCAGGAGGATCAGTGATTTGAAAGGGGGACGGTCCAGTTTCCCTCAACTAAAACCATGGGTATCCTTGAAGATACTGTGAGTTCCTTCTCTTGTATTTCCCTTGGAAACGACTCAAAATTTCATTTATTCATTTATTTTCTGGTTAAAATGCAGGATATTGAGGAGCTGTCTAATAGATGGACCAATCCCAGAATATCTTGGGAATGTGAGGAAATTAAAAAATTTGTGAGTAACTCTTATAATCCTTATAATGTATTTAATAAAAGATTATTTTTCTAGTTTTAGAGAAGGAAGATTATTTTTCTAGATTATATCCTTATGGTATACAGAGAAGGAAAATGATAGTTGAACTAACATTTCGTACTATCTCACATTCTCACCACATATAAAGAACCTCTCTCCCATCATTTTCTTTTGTTACTAACGGTTGTTTCTTGTCGTGAATCTAGGGACCTAAGTTTTAACAATTTGAGCGGTGAGATTCCAACTTCTTTTGTTCATCTAGCAAAAGCGGATTTCATGTAAGGATTTGACAAAGTACTTGGTTTTCCATCCATTTGTTTCATTAAATAGACATTTATTTTTGTGTATATACTTCGAAGCTATTTGACAGGAAACAAGCTTACTGGAGATGTACCGGAGTGGATTTTAACCTCAAACAAGAATGTGTAAGTTTACTTCTCATTAAGTAAACCACATTCAAGTTTAGTAAGGAGTCATCATCATATCATTACCCCAGTGCCGCAAAAGCTGCCACCTCGGTGGGGTATGGAGGGGTCGGATGTACGCAGCCTTACCCCTGTACTAAAGCACAAATAACTGTTACTTGATGACCCAAGGTGAAAATCACGTCGAAAATTGCATGGACTGACTGACGCTTCATAACAAAAAAGCGCAAACAGTTTTGTGAGTCATTTTGCTTTATTCCATCAAATTCTCAAGCCAGAAAATAGTGAATCTTTGGCTACATTGCAAATGATGGAAATAAGTTTGGTAAGGAGTAACTAATAAAATTTATGCCAATGCTTACGATGGGAATATCGCTAAAATAAAACTTAGACAAAAATCTGAGCACATGTTCACACCATGGTCTGTGAAAATACCGCCAATCACTGCGCTATAGAAGTCATATTTTTTTTTCATTAATCTTTACTTTAGTCATGTATTTGTCACTATTTCTAAATATTAAGGTGGAAAAATGTATTATCCTCAAACTCTCTTAATCTTGACAAATTGCTCTTCTGGTACAGAGATATTTCTTACAACAAGTTTTCAATTCAAAGCTCAGTACCAATGGAATGTCCTAGTGGAAATGTGTGAGTTCTTCTTAAATGAATGTTTTTGGTTCTCCATTACTCTTTTCCAAGTCATTTAATTAACATTCTTTATAATATCTATAATGTCTCCAGTAACTTTCTTGAAAGCTTTTCCTCGTACGGAAACTTGTAAGATTCATCTGCCTGAGACCTTTTTTCTTCAATTTATAGAATTAAAATGTTCCAAAGAAGAATCATTTAAGCTATATTATGATTGAACCTTCTTTGAAGCATGATAATTAGGTTGTTGAAATATTTGCTATTCTCTAACCAGTACCAGAGTTCATCCATGCCTCAAGCAAAACTTTCCTTGCTCTGGCCCATCCTCGCGGAGTGAGTAAACACAATTATCTGTTTCATTTATGTTGTCAACATAGCTTCGGGTATTGGCCATTTTAAGAAAACAGAGAAGTCCTGAAAAGCGTATACTTATAGGAGTTGTAGCTCATTTGAATGTGCTTTTGTTAAATGCACTTGTAAAGAAAAAAGTATATTGATAAAAGCCATTCTACTAAATAACATTTTAATATTTGGAAATACAGTAAAAAAGTTATTTTGAATTGAGTTCCAGAATAAATATTTATCCAAAAACACCTCGGAAGAAAGACATTCAAGTGTTCTTTTACTTCAACATAATGGTGCTCAAACATCGTTTTTACATGTAAAGTGCTTTTGTCCCACCAAAAGTACTTTTGATCTTGTGGAGAAGCACTTCCAAAAGGCTGTAAACTTACAGTATCACATTATTTTTGCAATTTTTCTGCTAACTATTACTCTGAACTTTAATGTAAGCAGTGAATTATGCCTTGTACATTAATTGTGGAGGAAAAGAAACAGTTATAGGCAATGGAACAATGTATGATGCTGACGTAGAAGCCCGAGGTGCTTCAATGTTCTCTTCAAGACCAAATTGGGCATTTAGCAGCACAGGAAACTTCATGGACAATGATAAGGATGCTGATTCCTATATTTATACCAATACCTCTCCTTTACATAATGTGTCCAGTGTTGATTCTGAGCTTTATAAGACTGCACGTGTGTCACCTCTCTCTCTCACTTACTATGGATTGTGTATGATAAATGGAAACTACACAGTTAAACTTCATTTTGCGGAGATTATATTTACAAATGATAGTTCTTTCAACAGCCTCGGCAAGCGTATATTTGATGTCTACTTGCAGGTAAATTTACAAACTAGAGGAGTGAAGAGCTTTTATTTTTTACTCCTGATAATTTAATGAGGTTTTTCTTATAATATTACTAAAACAGAACTTATGGACAAAATTATAACTACATGATCACTAAAGTCTCTATAAAAATATCATCTATGTCTACAGCGTACATCGAAAATCAGTTTACTCGTTATAATTACTGCAAAGAACACCAATACGACCACTTTAATATAATTCCTTTTGCTCCATTATATTTATTTAAGCCATATATTTTTTCATATTTTCTATTGTCATATTATTGTCAGCATAAAGTTTTGTGTCTTCTCATATAGGAAAAGCTGGTGTTGAAGGATTTTAACATTGAGAATGAGGCAGGAGGACCTGGTAAACCCATAGTAAAGACTTTCACTGTAGCCATAAAAAATGAAACGCTGAAGGTCCATTTTTACTGGGCTGGGAAAGGAACAACGGGAATACCTGAAAGAGGATTTTATGGCCCTTCAGTTGCTGCAATATCAGTTGACCCCAGTATGCTCTTGCAATTTTCTTTTTCCGTTTTGGTACCTTTTTTGTTTTTATCTTTTCAAAAACATTATTAAAGAATGGGAGTAAGGATTATTTTATTGCAGATTTCACGCCCCCAAAAATCGATGATGATAAAAACATTCCTGTTGGTGAATTAGTTGGAATTATAGTTGGAGCTGTGAGCTTTACATTTCTGGTCTTAGGCTTCGCCTATACAGTGCTCTCTAAGCAAAGAAAAGTATCTGAAGAGAGAGGTAAACACATCATTAAAATAAAGTCTATATAACACCAGATTGCTTTCAGTAAAGAGGGTGAAACAGCCATAATTTTCTGTGGTAATCACCTCAACAAGCTATCTGTGTGCCTTAAGCACAACTTTATAGTGTGTAATGTTTTACAGGAATCTCGTAGATGTTTAAAGATTGTCTCTTGAGATGCATATCTTAAGCTTTTAAAAATTTAGGTTAATACAGTACATTGTTTTTGGCAGATCTTAAAGGCTTGGATCTACAAGCAGGAATTTTTACCTTACGACAGATCCAAGCTGCAACAAAGAACTTTGATGCCGAAAACAAGATAGGGGAGGGTGGTTTTGGTTCAGTTTACAAGGTATGGTTATTTCTGAATCCAACAAAACTAACATCCTATAGAAGTACAAAGTGCATGTCTTAAAGCTTATTATTAGTCAAACACGCCCGTAGTTTGCTATTATTAGTTTTTCATTAAATAAATCTCCCCTTGATGATGCAGGGACAATTATCAGATGGAACGACAGTTGCTGTGAAGAAATTATCGTCAAAGTCAAAACAAGGAACTAGTGAATTTCTGAATGAAATAGGCATGATATCAGCACTGCAACATCCAAATCTTGTTAAGCTATATGGGTGCTGTGTTGAAGGCAACCAACTAATGCTAATCTATGAGTACATGGAAAACAATTGTGTGTCCCGAGCTCTATTTGGTATGATGAATAATACATCCTTCAGAATCCATTAACGGGCAGTTTTGTGGGCATTTCCAAATTTGATACTCCGTATCTGTTTTCTTCTTCCTTTGGTTTTTGTTGATAGGCAAGGATATAACATACAAGATTAAATTAGACTGGCCTACAAGGAAAAAAATTTGTTTGGGAATTGCTAGAGGTTTGGCATACCTTCATGAAGGATCAAGCTTGAAGATAGTTCATCGAGATATCAAGACCAGCAACATTTTGCTTGACAAGGACCTGAATGTTAAAATATCCGACTTTGGCCTCGCGAAACTTCATGAGGACGAAAACACTCACATTAGCACCCGGATTGCAGGGACCATGTAAGGTCATCTTATGGCTTTGATATTTTCTATTTGTACCATTCTGTGGCTTTATTTTCTAGAGCTATTCACACGAGAAACCTGGGCGCTTGATTATGCAGAGGTTATATGGCTCCTGAGTACGCAATGCGTGGCTGTCTAACTAGCAAAGCAGATGTCTACAGCTTTGGGGTTGTCGCTCTTGAAATCGTCAGTGGAAAAAGCAATACCAACTACAGGCCAAAGGAAGAATATGTTTATCTTCTGGACTGGGTAACTGGAATTTCTGGTTTTCTTTGATTTGTTGCAGTTCCGTAACAGTAACAAGTATCCCACATTTGGTACATTATTACCAAATTTAGTCATTCTGGTTCCTTATCCAGCCAAATTTAGTGTTCCTTTTGTTGATGTTTGGCCAGATAAGTGATCAGAAAACCCACACATGACAAAGACCCTAAGTGTGCCTCAAAAGTGGAACAAATTGAAAGTTAAGAAGTGATCTCATAACCATCGTCCGTGGAGCACAAGTGGAATATTTTCTAGCAATAATTCAGCACCAAACTCCTAGAATCCTACAGTACTTCACATCGCCTAATCCTATCTATGCTCTGCCTAATCCGGCTCAGGCACTACGCCTTGGTCTCCAGCACCTTCTAAATATAAAGATATTAACTAACCAACATATAAGTCATTTTGTTACTCCTATGGTGCTATCATTTGATCTTTTAGATAGTTCTAATAAGGTATTAAAACACTTAACATTCAAACGAGTAACTCGACCCGACAGAGACTAAAAACAAATAGACCAGTTTCAAAACTGGTCTCCTCCAACAGCCACATCTTGCCTTCCTAGTGCCTAGCTCTTTTCTGAGCATTTTTTGTACTATATTCACATTAATTAATTAAACATATTAATTTCAGTATAATGACTGTTTCCTCATTTGGTGCTTCAACTAGGCCTATGTTTTGCAAGAGAGGGGAAATGTACTTGAGCTAGTCGATCCAGAGTTGGGGTCTGAGTACTCAGCCGAAGAGGCTATGGTAATGCTAAACATTGCGCTCTTGTGTACTAATGCATCCCCAACTCTCAGACCAACAATGACTCAAGTGGTGAGCATGCTGCAAGGACACACCCTTGTTCAAGACATAATCTCAGACCCAGGTTTCTCCTCCATTGAACTGCAACTTAGATCAATGAGGAGGCACTTTTGGGAGAGCCCAAGCGTCGCCACAAATGGCACGACCATCGGTTCCAATCTGTCATATGTGGAAAAGGAAGACACAGAAACAGTTGCACTTGTAACAAAGATGTCAGATTTATGAAACATAACTACACTAATCAATACGTAGTATTTGTTAATGACTATGTATGTATGTAGGCATAGCTCTTTTGACTATATATAGTCATCCTGAACTGAGTAGGAACTCCATGGTAAAACTCAAGTATTGATCAAAAGCTTCATTTGACGTAGCGTTTGTCAACTTCATAATTAGGATCAAAAGTGAAATTATTAGTAGTATGATGAAGTGGTACTCCCTGCTTTTCTATTATTACCCGTCCCAAAATTAAGTTCCACTTTTCCTTTTCGGATGTCTCAAAATAAAATTCTTCCAACTTCTTTTTATATCTGGTAGGTGTTTATTATTTATTTATCCTTTTACTCTCACATAATTTTATTGAATTGATGTGTTACCCCCATTTCACTATTCACTTACTTCATTTGTACCCATTCCGGTATTACACTATTACATCTTGTAATAACCCAAGGGCGTTTTTGGAAAACCAGCTTGATATCCTATTCTACCTTAAAAGCCCTTGAAGTCAAATCTCAAATTTAATTTTGGGACTGATGGAGTAATTTGTTGTACTCCGTATGAAATAAAGAATTAGTGTTTAGACAACCTATCATTTTGTTAAAAATGACCAAAAGAAGTACATTAAAGTTTGTTGCGGGGTACATTAAAACAATAGTTAGAGACACACAGAGAGGTACGTATATGTCTATGTTCACGTGTTTGCTTACTTTTGTATTTTTATTGTATACATATTGTACATTCATAGTTATACTTATGTTTATATCTTTATTTATATTGTAGTTACATTTCTATTTTGTGAGGAATTAAAATAACTAGACCATTAAAATAGAGAAAATCCCTCCAATAGGAACAAAACAATGTAAGAGTGTACACAAAAAAAGTATCATGTTTGATGATAGGAAAAGGTATTGACCTGATACCGTTATCCTTGGGCTGCCTGCAAACCTCAAGGTGAAAAGCCAATTTTGATGCTTTCACTCCTATATTTGCTGCAATCAAGGTATTTGTGGATGTCAAAATTGGTTGGATAGTACCGATTCAGTGGCAATTAGGCGGTTCATTCACGGAGAGAGAAGTTGCGTCAGCAGCACACGCCCATGGATTCCAAAATCCAGGGTTAGGAAAATTAAAAACCCCAAATTTTTTAAATGTATTATATCCTTTTTATTTATACTCCGATTTTTATAAAAAATATATCAAATATTATAATTTTTTATGATCTTTCATGACACCAATATCATATATATACTACATATATACTAGTATATAATTTAAGGAATAAAGATTTGAAGTTTCATCAGTTGGGATTTTTATGTTTATTTTTTTTTAAGTAGACCCAAGTGCTAAAATTAAGGTCTCATGACAAAAATAACTTTTTACTATCTTTCGGTTATTTTTTTCAAAAATTGGTATTTATTGACAATAAAAAATAATTAAACTCTAATTTTATTTATTTTTTATCTTAGTAATATCATAATTATTCGTAAGAAAATGATTAACACAAAATTATTTTATTAGAATAAAAGGAAGGTTTTAATTAAAGAAAACTTTGATGGTTGAATGTATTGATGATGGACGATTGCAGTAAAAATTGAATTGACAGACTGAATACGTATAAAATAGTGGTAAATTTAATTTATTGACAGGGATGAGTTGCGGTTAGGGATAAGGGTCAGTTTGGTCCTCGAAGTTGCAAAAAAGGAGTCAAATAAGTCCTTATATAGAAGATTCTGTCCGGAAGTGTCATTTGAGGTGGCTCCCGGTGGAATTTTTTGATGAATTTTTTTGAGCATTTTATTCATTAAGTCTAGTTTACTCATATCAAATTTCAGATAAAAATTCAATCGGGAAGACATTGAAATGAATTCTTGAAGATAATTGTGCCATTAAAAGCGTAGTTATCTTCAAGAATTCATTTGAATGCCTTCCCGATTGAATGTTTAGCTTAAATTTGGTATGAGTAAACTAGACTTAATGAATACGAAGCTAAAAAAAAATTATCAAAAAATTCTACCGGGAGCCACCTCAAATGGCACGTCCGGACATAATCTTCTATATAAGGACTTATTTGACACTTTTTTTACAAGTTCGAGTACCAAACTGACTCTTTACTCGTTGCGGTTAGCCTTAAATTAAATTCTAAGGTGTTTACTTCGACACTTCGTTGCTAAAGTCACAGTTAGGTTAGTAAAACAGATGAAGTAAACACGATAGTTGGTTAAAAAGCTGCTTACTAACCGAAAAAGGTGCTTAAAGTGCTACTTACTAAGCATTACCATCCCCCATGTATTAATTAAGCGATACTTTAAACTTTTTCAGTTTCCGAATTTACCCTTACACTTACCCCTTGCCCTTACCCTATTGTTACCCCTCTACCCTCTAACCCACCCTTACTTTACCCCCACCTACCTTCGCATACCCCTTACCCCGACCTCTACCACACCCTAACCCAACTACCCCCATCGTACCTTACCCCTACCTTACCCCACCCCGTTACCCCCACCCTCGTACCCCTTTATTCCCTACCACATGGCCCTACCTCGGCCGCACCCGATACTCCACCCACCCCCTACCCCGACCCTACCCCTTTACCCCCCTACCACCTTCCCCTACCTCGACCCCACCTCGACTCCACCCATCCTACCCCACCCTGCAACCCTGCCCATTATCCCCACCCCCACACCACCCCCCACACCACCCCTTCTCTACCCTGTCCACTACCCCTTTACCCCTACCATCTTCCCCTACCTCGACCCCACCCTACCCGTACCCCACCCCACCCACACGTACCTCTTACCCCGACCTTACCCCTTTACCCCATGCCACCAACCCTTACCTCAACCCCACCCCTACGAGTAGGATATGTGTTAGGGGTATGGGTTATGGGTATGGGTATGGGTATGGGTATGAGGGTTGTAGGGGTAGATGGTAAGGTCGTGGTAAGGGTAGAGGTGGGGGTCAAGGGTGTGGAATTGGGGGTAAGGGGTACGGGGTGGGGGTACGGTTTTGGGGTTAGGGGTACGGGTACACGTACGAGGTGACCACACATATTATATTATATGCTTGTGCTCATGAATGTTTGTGTGTCTATATATGTATAGGGTTATTTTGGACATTTTAATGTTAAACGGTGTTTTAAATCCTTTGAACTAAACACGAGCTTACAACACTGCTTATTAACGCGAGTCTTAATAAGTATCGTTTGGTAACTCATGAAGCAAATGTGTCCTAAGTCTTATACTCCGCATAAAAAAGTAAAAGTTGTCCAATACAACATTGCCCTTTACCTTAGTCGTCATCTCCCCTGCTAGGGCCACTGCCTCATCTAACAAATACATTATTTGTTAAAATTTGGAGTTTCATCTTGAAAGGTTAATCAGACACTTCGTCTGGATCGTGTTTATAATCATCGTCCTTTTTTATAAAGGACCCATATCATGGTTATGAATCGATTTGACTCTAATATTATGTTAACACTAGGAGAATTAGCAAATGTCTTAATATATGACTATTACTAGTACTTCTCAATTTTCCGCTGTGAAACTTTAACATTATTATTGACATCCACGACGATCGTTGTTTCTTCCATGGTGTCTACTGCCAATCTTTGACGTGATTACCATATTGATATAAATAATGAAATATTGTATACCACCATGCTAAAATAATACTCTGCAATGTTGAAAAAAATAATATTTGGTACTTCATATGTCCCATATAATTCTTTCCGATTTGACTTAAATCGGAGTCTAAGAAAGTGAGAATAAAGTGAAAATATGTGATTGTGATTATGGTTGAGAAACACAGTTAAATGAATGTTAGTCACTCAAAAATTTTCAAATAGAAAAGAGATTATTTTTTGAAATAACTCCAAAACGTAAATGAGAAAATTTTATGAAACAAAACTAAACTATATATGGAGTATAAGTCAAAGTGCAAGGCATTTTGTTTCAAATTTCCATCCAGTTGTGTCAAAAAATTGTTTTAAATTTGGATGGGATCCAGCTCCTGAGTTGCACATGTGTCTGTGCTTAGTCCTGTCAACTGTCAATGGCTTGTTTCTTAATCAATCCCGAACACACACTCGACCCCACTCTCTCCTCTCAACATATCCTTCGTAAAAATAACACTCCAGGAGTCCGGGTACGTGGTACCAGAGTGTACGTTAGCTTTGAATATATTTTTACAACTTATACTAGTAAATAAATGTGATATATGAAATTTTATACTATTCACATGTTCTATTTTAATTACATTTTATTTATTAATGTATGAATATATTTTTATGAAAAAAATATTGTTAATTTTGTCTCATTGTAAATTTTCAATATCTAATTTTTTAATTTTTTTTACTAATATAAATTTATACTACGTATATATTAATGGTCAAAGTTGTGTCTCAACAAGTGTGGTATGTTGATTTTTTAATGAAATGGGGAGAAGTGATTAAATAAAAGTTTATAGTGTTTGGGCGGACGTCTCCCTAGTTCTTAGGGTTAGGTTTTTGCGGCGATTCTTCCCTATCGATCGTGAGGGGGAGATCGGCTTGGCTTGATTGTTGATTTGAGTGTGTAGAAGACTTGCGCCAGAATCTTGCAGTGCTGCTTTCCTTCGGTTGGGGCAAACAACCTTGGTTTACTTCGTCTTTTCCTTTGAGTGCAGGGGAAGGCCTTTGGCGGCCACGGTTAGGCAGGAATATGGAAGAAATAGCTAACAAATGCAGGGATATGGTGATTGGGAATCAGGAAGAAGAGTTGGTCTTTGATGAAGGAAAACTGATACAGGAAGAGAAAGACATGGATGAGGAAGAGGCTCTGAACAGGAGTCCTCGGACGAAAGAAGACGAAGAGGTGGATGAAGGTCTGATGATCCGTCCTCCTCCTGAGCCACCGCCGAGGATGATGCTTGAAGCAGGGATTTGTTTGCTCTGTCACTTTATTTTATTTAATCTCGCTTTACTCTTTTTGAGGTTCTTAGGCATGAATACTGTCGTTGTTGTTTTTTGTATTGTTTCTTTCTGCCAGACTCTTACATTAGGTGGGGGTGGTGAGGGTTTTGCTCTGGCCACGTTAGGCTCATTTAGACCCATTACTGGACAAGCGAATCATATTGCTCTAGATAAGGTGATTGGTTCTCCAGTTGGTCCGATGGTTGGTGGCTGGAAGTGTTTCCTTTATCATTTGTATCCCTTGCTGAATGTTTTGTTATTAATATAAGCCGCTAGTCCTTGTTTCAAAAAACAAGTGTGGCATGTTGACCGTTGCATTTATTTAAGAACGGAAGACGTTTTCACACTTATACACAAAACGTATTTTGTCTATATAGACAAAATGGTTGATAAAATAGTTGAATAGTTGATACACGTACAAAAATACGTGTATCAATATGACAATATGTGTACACACTGGTTGAAATTATCAACTATTCAACTATTTTATCAACTATTTTGCACTTGAGCTCGCTCCTTGCTGGGCTGGTAGGCCGACTCCTAACCGAGCTAGTGGTTGGCTCCTTGATGGTGGATGGCTCTCTACTGGGTTGGTAGGCTGGCTGGCTCTTAGTTGGGTTCATAGGTCACCTCTCAGTTGGGCTAGTAGTGGTAGGTCAGCTCTCAACTGGGCTAGTAGGATGGTCAGGTTGGCTAGTCGGCTCTCTTACACTCTTGGACTTGCTTTACTTGTTGGGCTTGTTGGTTGAGACGCTTTGAGTTCCTAGCTCGGTGGACCAATTGATCTTGTCAACGAGTGAAACACTAATCTCGAGCTTGGACTCGTTGATCGAGATCGTTGGCCTCTACTCGTGGGCCGAATTCCTATGTCTGGAATTGGCAAGCTCATGGTCTGGTTCCATAACCCCAACAATGTTTAATATTTTAGATTGTTACTCCGTATCTATTACATTCAAAATTCAAAATAGGAGGTCGTTTGGCAACACTATTTTTCGGCTTGTCCGCCAACTTTTTTCACCAAACACGTAAATTTTGCTTTCGCGCGCTGAGTTGTGTAATAAGCAGAAAAAGTAAGATTGTAGTTACTTTTCTGGCTGTATTGGCTGAAGTTACTGTAGATGACTATTTTAGCTATTTTTACATATAATTTTTTCTTTATTTTATTAATAAAATATTTTTTGAAAATATTTTTTTCTTAGATCAACAGAACCAGCCACTACAGCCAGAACTTCATAAATTTTAGCAGAACCAAATCAGCCGATTTTCATGCTACCAAACGGGCTCTAGGTGTGGCCTTACATTGAATTGTGAGCTTTCAAGATCCATTCCAAATTTTTGGGTGTTTGGTGTAGCATGAATTTTTTCTTCTATCTGCACTGCATAGTTGGTCCTTGTACAGGCCCTACAGACATGTAAAACAACTGTGGTGGTCAATGTCTAAAGAGGAAACCTTTTGATGGGTCGATGCATTTATATTTGGAGGGGACACTTGTTATTATAGTGCATAGATTTGAAGAGAGTGACATTTCATATTTGAATCCCATATTTGCTCTGCCAGCACGCTCTTGAAAAACTTATAAAACGGGGACCGGTTGCCTTGGATCAATAATTTGAATTTTTTTACGGAGAAAAATCATTCCTTCCAATTCTACTGTCCTCTTAGATTTCAGAGATAATTCACTTACCAGAAGTTCAAAATTTCCTAAATACTCCCTCTGTCTCATTGGACTTTGCCAACTTTCCCTTTTTGGGTATCCCAAAAAATTTTGGCACTTTTTTATTAAAGCAACTAATTTGTGGTCCTGCACAATTTTCTCTCCTCTGTACAACTCTCAACCACACAACTTTTACTATTCTTATTTCTCATCTACTTTGCATATGGCAAAGTCTACCGGGACGGAGGTAGTATGAGTTTTTCTTACCATTGCCACTGGGCCGCCGCCGCCGCCTTAAACTTTGATTATACAAGAGAATTAGGAGCAATTACTTATATTAGAGATACATAGAAATGTACTACCTAATACTCCGCACTTAATTCTATTTAAGAAATACTCCCTCCGTCCCCTTTTAAATGTCCCGGAGGAGGGTGACACGAGTTTTAAGAAAAATGGGTTTGTGTAGTTGATATTAATTGATAAAGTAAGAATGATTTTGAGTCACACAAACTTTACCAAATAAGATATGAGACAATTAAATAGGGACATCCCAATATGATAAAACGGGACATTTAAAAGGGGACGGAGGGAGTAAGTAGTACTAAACATAGACTCCTATTTAGAGAGAAAGGAATATGTTTTACTCTTTTTCAAAATAATTGTTAAACTTTACAAAAGAGTTTACCTGAGTCAAGATTTACTTCACTTTTCTTTTTTCCCCTATGACGTCATACTCCGTATTTGATTAATTGTTGTATTCGTTATATTGATAGTAAACTATTGTATTAAAGTGCTACTCCATGCATTAATATAGTAGTAGTTTTTTTATGAACTGTAAATATGTATAACAATTAACAAACCAACAGAGGGGCATACCCCAGCAAAATCAAACAACAAACCAGATCACCATTGTCACTCAAAACAATCAAAGAAACCATATTTGGCATACCAAACAAGGCTAACAAGTCCAAAACACAGCAGACGAACATAGCCTGCATAACAAAAATAACAGAATCCCTTTCTAGAGCTAAAATAAAGAATAAAAAATCAATCATCTCCGGAGGGTAAAGTCTATATAGGATTTTATAAGTAGCAACCTTTATCTGCATAGTCAAACCCTGGTCAGTCAATGGAAAGATATTTTCATTTCTAGCCTTCCAAATAGTGTGAATGGTGGCACCAAACGCCAATGTTACAGCCTTACTTCTTAACCGAGCTCCTCCAAAATCGTTTTTGCAACATTTAACCACACTGGATAGAGTAAACCCAGCCCTTTTCATACAACCCAGGCACAAATATCTCTCCATACTATACCAGTATCGCAACAATTGAAAAAGAGGTGTTCAATAGTTTCCAATTGTTCATGAAAAAACCTGCAGCCATTATCAATATTCATGTACCACAAGGAGTCTACTGTAGCTAGTTTATTCTTGAAATAAAGTCAAGCAATGAACGAGAATTTGGGAGGTATATACCTCTTCCAAATCAAATCCATACATGACTTATTAGGACTCTTTATTGTCAAAATGTCATAAACGCAAGAGGCCAATGGTTTCCCGCTAGTGCACCATTTATGGAAGTGAGCACCTATATGATTATGCTTCCACTCCCAAATAGACAACCCCTTTAGATAGTATTCATGAAACCACTTTACCCATAATGAGTCTTTCTTGGACTGGATATTCCACAAAGTTTTAGTGAGAAGTGCTTTGTTCCAGATTTTTACATTCTTTAGACCCAGTCCACCCTCTTCCATACGTTTGCATATATCACCCCAAGCCAGGGGCGGAGCCAAGGGGGGGTCAGGGTGGTCAGCCGACCCTGCTGAAAGTTTATGAACGTAGAGCTCTGAAATACCTTCGTTTTGATATATTATGGGTCCCGTAACTCTTTACGAGTAAAAAGTTACGACTTCTGAAAAAATCAGCACTATCTTAACTTGAAATAAGCAAAATTTGATGTGTGACGTTGATTATATTCTTAAATTTAAAAATAAAACACCTTATTCCGTCATTAGTTGTGTGAACATTATGACACATTACATATATTTCAATACATTAACCGAAAAATGCTCATTAAACTACCATTTATCTCAGCTACATATGAAACATTTAACTCAAGTATTGTATACAGTAATAATTATCCATCATTTTGATACTGTATATAATTAAATTCCGATCCCCTCACACATTTTTCTGGCTCCGCCCCTGCCCCAAGCCACTTTAGCCTTCCTTCCATCCCACAAGAAATTTCTGCAGGTTGAGACAATCCTATTTATGATAATAATAGGCATTGGAAAAGATTGGAGCCAGAAAGATTGAGCACCACTAATCTTATTAGCTCAACTCTTCCAACGTATGACATAACCTTTGATTTCCATTTAGCCACGTAAGCTTCAATTTTATTGATCATTGGGTCAAACTGGGCCACATAAACTTGCAAAGGTGCCAATGGAATTCCAAGATATCTGACCGGAAATATACCTTCCTAAAAAAAGCAGCAGGGTAACCTCCTGGAGATTTATCATCACCAATATCAAAGAGAGCACTCTTGATTTCCTGATATGAGATTGGTTCTAACAAAGAAATGGCCATAGAGCTATTTATCACTTTCCCATTTTTAACAAGATCATGTCTGGGCTCCTCACAATCAATGGTTGATCCAAATAAATTACTATAGAATCCAAAGAATTCCTGAGACAGTTTCTGCATAGAGGTGGTAGTGGTACCATCCTCCTTGATTAGGAAAGATATAGAGGATCTAGTGACATTTTTCTTCGCGATAGCATGGAAGTACTTTGTGCTCCTATCTGCATCAAGGAGATAAGTCACCTTAGCTATCTGCATAAAAGAAGCGTCTCAGCATCAATGAGAAGATTAGCAGATTTCCTTGTCGAGTTTACGGCTTAGCAAAGCTGTTTTGGTTTAGGATCTTAAGAGTTTTTTCGTGTGGACCCCCAACACCAATCAAGACAATATTAAAGTACTACTCCATAATCCATATACTATCGTATTATTATACTCCGTATTATACAAAGAGTACAATAAAGCTACATTATACTTCATATATTAAGCTGTATTAAAGTACTATTCCATATATTAATACACTCTAGAGAGAAACCTAGCGGCCGTCTCCCCTCTTTGTAGGGGTTGAGATTTTCCATAGCCCCTATAAACATGGGTTGAAGCAGCAAATTATACTGATTTTAAGTATTCTAATGCTTTGGATCGCAACTACATCGAAGGAGATAGTGTTGGCAGATGAACGAGGTGTGACTAAGAGGTTGTATCGAGACTGGATCGTGAAGCCTTGGTCATTCATTCCGACGGTGGTGGAGTTGGTATTCACCCATATTGCAAGAGTTCGTCCTCCTTCGGAACCACCTCCATACCAGGAAGAGCTTTGTGGAAAGATTTTATTCAAATATTATTTTCTCTTTAGTAACAATTGTTTCTGTTTTGGTCAGAGTAGATTTGGTTTGAATGTTTGGGTTTTTGAAGTTCTTTTGATAGGCAGGGTTTCGGTTCTGATCGCTTTAGGCCTAAATTTGTCCTTTTCAGGTTTAGCGAGTCATGTTGCTTTATATGAGGTGGCTGACTCGAAGTCTACTCCTAGAGCTCACGATTGGATCTGTAATTTCTGTCTAAAGATTGTCTTATATCTGTTCTTGATTTTAATATAACAACCGCTCTTTTATGATAAAAAAATATTAACAGACTACAATAGTTACATTTATTTTAGGAATGCATGTTTCATTATTTGTGTACACAAAGCTTTTGTAATCTTGAGTTTGACGTAATCATAATTTAATGTGTAAAAACCCCACCTTATAGACAAATTTTACCCTTAGATTAAAAACACAACATACCCGCACTACTTAGGGATGGACTGAGACGGATCGATCCGACCCAGACCCGGTACTGTTTAGGCCCGTCCCGTTACTGTATAGGCCCATCCCGTTACTGTATAGGCCCGGTCCCATCATGGGGCCTGGCCCGGTGACTATAAGAGTGGTTTCGGGCTCGACTTTTTGGTCCCGGCCCGCCCGATTTGGTTGCACTATTTTTTAATCTAATGTCCAGTCGCGTCCCAGAGCCGGCCTGACCCGGTACTGTTTGGGCCTGGCCTGGTCCTGGTACAAACCCGGGGCCGGTACCGGGCCTGCAATCCTTAAGCCCAAGCCCGCCCAGTCTCGGCCCGGCCCCAGTCCACGCAGTCACGCCTACCCGCACTTCTTATAATCAATCCATTCAAAAATAAATTTAGCAATATCAGGACGTGTCTCAAGTTCCGTCAAATTAAATACTCCTAAATACTTTGTAATAATCGTACAGCATATATTAGGGGAGTTTAGCCCATCTTTTAATGAATTACACCAGTCGCCCATGTGAGAACTGATCCTGAAGAAGACATGTGAAAGGAATAGTAAGAAGTACTCTCAATTCCGAGCATGCGAAGCATTACTCCGTGTTCGGCATCTTTTTGCTTTGTTTGGAACAGAAATGAGGAAACAAGTACCCAAGTACGTAATAAAAGACACAATAAGAGAAGAGAGAGATATAGAAAATAAGTAGATTGAGTATTGTTTAAATGTGATGAAATTAATCAAATTCTAATTGGAATAGTTATATTGATTGGATTTGCTAAATTAAGAAAAAGTATATACGCAGTATATATAATAGCCCAATACGGAGTATTATATTAGGAATAATTGTAATTTAGACAACTTTCTCATATTATAAATATAAATGTCAAAGCTCCTAGGCATGGCAATGGGTTGGGGCGGGTCCGCACCGCCCCGTGACCTGCACGGGTCCAAACTTGTTGACCCATGACCCGCCCCATGCGGGGCGGGTCCGACCCGCCCCGCCGCAACCTAATTAGCTAGTTTGTATTTTTATTTGTGTGAAATTGTTACCAATTGAATCTACATAATGTTTATCTCTAAATAATAATTAAAAATCAATATATTAAATCAAATTCATGATACGCTAAAAATTTCAAAAATTAAGGAAAAATTACTCAAACTTGAATAGTTAATCTAATTAGTTATATTAATAATCCGTCGTGCATCTCATTCTAATATATATTCATATATTATAAGATCAAACAATTTATGATTTATTGTATACACACATATGTATGTTGAAGTATATTTGTAGTATAAGTTAAGAAAAAGTATTTATACTTATATATTGAGCGGGTCAGGTCAGGGCGAGGCGGCACGGGTCAATTCTAATACCCGAACCTGCCCCATTGTATAGGCGGGTCGGGGCGGACCCGCCCCATTTGCAAGACGGGGCGGGGCGGACCCGCCCCAAATGTCTCGGGCCAGAGCGAGTCATTGCTGGTCGGGTTTTTTTGACATCCCTAAAAGCTCCTATTTGGAGTATTCCTTCCATTATTTCACATGGTATCAAGAGCCTAGATTTTTCTCTCTCTAAAAATTGCCCTACCACCGCCACCATGAGCCCGGCCAGCACAAAGTCGACCACCGTACTGCCGCTACTCATCCTTCACCTCGGTCTCTGTCCGCTTCTCCTCTGCCATGACATCGGCTAGCACAACGCCGACTTTCTCCTCTACTGCCGCCACAGTTGTTTCAACCACAAAGCACAGCCACCGTCTTCAAGACAGCTTCGCCGCTTGTTGCGTTCCTAGCTTAGGACTCAATCTTGTGTCTTGAAAGTCCAAGAAGCAATGTAACCTACTGTCTTCAAATTTTCTACTGAAGCGGAGTATTGTGCCATTGCTTACACTGTCTAGGATACATTGCATATTCGGTCTATCCTGCTTGGGCTTGGATTTCATGTCGCAACACCAGTTCATCTATTCTATGACAATGTTTTTGCTTCTTATTTGACTGCAAATCTAGTTCAGCATGCTCGGAGCAAGCATATTCAAATTGATTACCACTTTGTACATGTGTGTGTGGCTCATGGAGATCTGATTGTCAAATATGTACCTATTAGTCTTCAGTTGGCAGATATATTTACTAAAAGTATTTACACAGTTTGGGGGGTGTAATAGTCTAATACTCCCTCCGTCCCAATATAAAAGGCACACTTTTCTTTTCGGTCCGTCCCAATATAAAAGGCACATTTCCCTTTTTGGCAAACAAAACAGTGCAAAACAGTGCCAAACAGTGTCCAAACAGTGTCAAACAGTGTCTAAACAGTGCCAAACAGTGTTCAAACAGTGTTCACCCTTAAAATGTCTAGTAACGCAAATGTGCCTTTTATATTGGGACGGAGGGAGTATTAAATTAGGAATTATTGTAATTTAGGCAACTCTCTCATATTATAAATATATTTGTCAGGGATCCTATTTGGGGTATCTTTTCCTATTATTTCACAATATATTCTATAAACAAAATATAAATAACATTATATGAAAAATAAGTAAAAGTAACTGCAAAAAGTCCAAGTAACTGCAAAAATTATTCAGTTAATTCCACCAGAAAAGTAACTGCAAAAAGTCCAAGTAAAAACATTCTGATCCCCAATGGAGTCTAGAATTGTCATAGTTTTATTTCACATATAATTCTATTGATATTTTATAACTATCAAAAACTGGTATGATATGGTACGTTAGATCTGGTCTGGGATTGAAAACAGTCCAAGTAAAAACATCCTGATCTCTAATAGAGACTAGAATTGTCATAGTTGCTTCACAAAATCTATGTGAATAATCCCTCTTTTTTTTTTACAACTTAAACGTGCAAGCAGCTCTTGGTATAATTAAATATTAATGCAAACTTTAAATTGAACGCGGAGGAAAATAGTGCGCGTTTATAAAGGAGACTGTTCCAATCTCTCACACACACACCGCTAAGCTGCATTGATCATGTTTGACGAGTCGCTAATATGAGTGAATAAAAAAATTGTTTAATAACTTGTCTATTCGCGATAGGCAGGTATTGCAAGACCCAGACCCGCCTCGTGACTTGGCAGGGCGGGTCCGCCCGCCCCGTGACCTGCACGGGTCCAAACTTGTTAACCCATGACCCGCCCCATGCAGGGCGGGTCCGCCCCGCCCCGCCCCGCCCTGCCGTAACATAATTAGCTAGTATGTATTTTTATTTGTGAGAAGTTGTTATCAATTGAATCAACATAAAGTTTATCTCTAAATAATAATTAAAAATTACTCCGTAATATATTAAATCAAATTCATGATACCCTAAAAATTTCAAAAATTAAGGAAAAATTACTTAGACTTGAATAGTTAATCTATTTAATTATACTAATAATTGATCATATGTATTAAAATGCTATATATAAAGAAGTCATTGATAATCCGTCTTTCATCTCATTCTAATATATGTATTAATATATTATTAGATCAAAGAATTTATGATTTACTGTATACACACATATGTATGTTGAAGTATATTTGTTGTATAATTTAAGAAAAAGTATGTATGCTTATGTATTGAGCGGGCGGGTCGGGGCGGGTCAGGGCGGCACGAGTCAATACTAATACCCGGACCCGCCCCATTGTATAGGTGGGGCAGACCCGCCCCATTTGGAAGACGGGGCGGGGCGGACCCGCCCCATTTGGAAGACGGGGCGGGGCGGACCCGCCCCATTTGGAAGACGGGGCGGGGCGGACCCGCCCCAAATGTCTCGGGCCAAGGCGGGTCACTGCGGGTCGGTTTTTTTTTTTTTGACATCCCTAGTTCGCGATTAGCTGTTATATACTGTGTAGGACGTAAAATGACCACTAAACATATGAACTAAAAAAGTGACTTTTTTGGATTATATTTTTAAATTTATATTTACTAATATTTAAACTATTACTACTATACGTAGTATTAATGTATTATATTGTTATTTTAAAAATATACATGTACACATGTAAATATTATAATAATATATGCACACATTTAGTATTGGTATATATAAATATTGTGAATATGACTGTTTTTTAAAATAATATTATAAAATTGCAAGCAACAATATTCATAATAATATTTCTAGTTTAAACCATTAAGGATATGAATAAAAAAAGGTATATATATATATTTTACTGTAATTCTTATCATTATTATTACATTGTCATTGATATTTTTATTTTATTTCAATTAATATTTCTAATTTTGAATAACTATCAAAAACTTAAATAATAAGGTAAAATTGAAGGGTTATATACTAGCTAGGCTTTTAAATTAAAATATAAAAATAAATTAAAAAGCCGCTGTGAAAAGATACTCAAAGTGACTTTTTCATTATTGACTTTTTCACTTCAACAGCCAAATGAAAAAATCGTATACCAAACACTAAACACAACAGTATGATTGGAGTAAAACAACCAAAGTTAATCCTAAAACCCAAAATATGGCTGATATGCCCATACACAAACAGCCCCAACATAATACAGTGGTATGAGCTTAAAAAAAGTTACCAAGTGCTAATGCAACCATGCATATGGTTACAAGAAAGTTGCACTACTATAAAAAAAATAACGAAAATGGCTTAAATTTGACACAAGTTTTTGAAAGAGATTCACCAAAATTCACAGGTATATGACACGGAGTTGAGACCTATAATCAAATATGTTCCATATT